AAAAATTTCTAAACATCCAATTTACCTCCCTCTTGGGTGTTATTATCTAATCTTACAATATATTGACAAAAATAATTGTTATATATACCCTATTTTGTAGTAGTGAGTTTTGCTAGTCTTAATGAGAGTTTTATTTGTTATAATTTATTCATTAGTAGTCTACACAAATATTATTTTCAAATCGGTTGCTATTTCTTTTAAGATGAGTACTTGTTTCATATATATATATATATATATGATACCTTATGCAATGCTATTTGACTTCTAATGATATGTAAGAAATTGTTGGCATGGTTTTGGGAATTAGGGTGCAAAGCATCATGCCCTTTTGTACTTTCCAAGTGTCTCTGATGATTTAGATCCTTAATGTAATTAAAAGTAGTTTACCAAATTATTGTGGGTTTCCAAGGTCCTTTACCACAATTTCATTGAAGTATCAAAGCTTATTGAGAAATCAAGGGTACCCCAAAAAATGTATGAAGTCAAATCACATGAAATTAAGTACTAATAATTTCATATTTTATAATTAAGTATGTATATATTTTGGTTTATATTTGATTATATTTGTTAAGATTTTATATTTATTTAATTAATATTTATATATTTTTTTCTCATCACTTAATTATAAGATTAAAAGGAATTTTGATACAAAATCTATTCATATTTTATTTTGTAGGAAAATAATAGATTAAACAAAGGAAGAAAATGTATAAAAGAAATGAACATATATATGCGCTAAAGAAGAAGTCACGCAATAATTAATATTGGTGCAACAGTTATATATATATATATATATATATATATTATAGTCCCACATCTATTAGAAATAAGAGAAGAAGCCTCCACTTTAATTATAAATACCCCTTAAAGCTCGTAGAAGCATTCTAAAGGCTAAAAGTGATATCATTGAAGAATTCTAAAAATCATGATTATTTCTTTTCTATCCCTTAATTTTCTCTGTGATCATTTTTCATAATTAGATATTTTAGAATGGTGTTATTTAATTTTATTATGTGTTTATAAATTACCCAGTTGGTATAGGGATGTAGCTCAACTAGAGGGCTAGTTTTTTACTTTCTTTGTTTTGACCCTTTGCAATTATATTTATGAATATTTTTACTTTTTTAATTATATTTATTTCTTTTATTCTTCACATTGATTTTATAATTGGCCACTATTTAATCAAATCTATGGATAATCTTAATAGATTGGGAGGTGAAAAGGTAACCTAGATCTAGAGAAATAGATAAATAACTAGGCTAGAGATACTTCTAAAAATTTGTGGTGAGTTAAACTATAGCTTCAATGTTTAATTAGTTGTTTGGGTATTGTGGCAACAAATTCAATGCTAATTAAAAACAGACTAATAATTTAGGAGAATATTAGGACATTTTAGAAAAAGTTGTTACTATAATTGATAAGAGAGTTAACTCAAAAGGTAAAAACTATTAAACTTATAGGGTGAATCTTAAATCCCAATGCTTCAAGTGATTGTATTTTCCTATTAATCCAGAGCCACCCATTACATTTAGAGATATATTCAACACCCATTCATCATGTCTAATCTATCATGCATCCAATTGAGTGCTAGAACGCATAATTATGAATTTAAAAATATTCACTTAAATGCGCTACCTAATTTCAATGGGAATCAAACTAAAGATGCCTTAGATTTTATACAAAATTTTATGCAATGATTGATATACTACCACTAAATAATCTATCATATGATGACTTAAAGTTGCATTGTTTCCCTTACTATTTAAAGGGATAAACTCGTCAATGGCTTTTACACTTACTAGAAGCTTATGTAAGCTCTTAGATGAAGATGTATGAGAAATTTATATTGAAATATTGTAACATCCTATGTTTTTAAATTAGTAATTATCAGTGTTTGTAAGGGCCTTTTGGTCAATTTAGATAAATTAGTGATTAATGACATCTATAGGAGACTAATATAGTTTTTAGATCCTTTGATAGCTTTAGGAGAAGGCTAGGTCAATGTTTGAGTGGGCCATGGCATGGAAGGGAGTTTAAAATTTTGGTAGGACTTTCTATGCCATGCACCATGGTGGGCATAAAAAATTTACACTTATCAAATTGTGAAAACAGACTCAAAATCAAAAGCGAGATAAGGGAAATCGTGAGGAGGCGACAGGAAATGACCAATGTCTTCTAGGACATGATCCTTAGACCATATCGGAAGCATTTAGAACTTAAATCATCCTTGGGTAAGTTCTACATTCCCTTTCCTTCATCTTTATGCAAAAAATTCTAACTTTTAGGGTAATGAGAGCTTTGTTTTCAGTTTTCTTAGGTTTTGACCAAACCTATTGACTTATTTAAAGTCTTAGGGAGTTAAATCAAGCCTCTAACCCTAGGTTTATGAGTTTTGTGATGATTTAAAATTTTTGTTGAGGGTTTGGATGAACCTTAAACATAATCTGGAGGTTTTGAGACAATGTGGGGGAATTGGATGATGGTTTTGGTTTGTTAGGATGTTTAATAGGATGATTAGAGTGTTTGAGAATGGTTAGTGTGGTTAGATAAGGAATTGAGTGTTGTGGGCACTTAGAACCTAGAGAATTCAAGGTTTATCCAGAGTGCTAATTGATAATTGTCACTTAATTGTATAGATTAAGTATTGCTCAAGCTACCTCGTGCATATAGAACGAGTGGAGCTAATGTTGAGCCACAGTAATCCTTTTGTATGACAAAGGATTGAGGTAACAAAAAATTTATACTAATTGATTATATTGTTTAACTGTTTGTGAGTAGATATGTTTAAGTTTATTATGTGGGATTTGATAACCTTGCATATTGTGAAATATAGTTTTGTGCATGAAAAACTATTTTGCAAACAATGGGAATGGTAAAAATTTATGTGGACTAGTTAAGAAATTTAAAATGTATATGTTTTATATATGATGAGTGTGAGCATGATCATGTTAAGAGGTAGGAGTTCACCTATAGGAAGGAGTAGTAAAAGTCTATATGGCATGTATCTCCTTAGTGTTTAGTAAGGCATATAAGATACGGTGTTGGAGAGTAACACTCCTTAACATTAGTGATCCAGTGTTAGAGTAACGACACCTCAATTTGTGTACAATAGGGGGAAACCATAGTCCAAAAGTGAAATAGGACACCTTTGGTCAGGTGATCCTACCACCAAAGGTGAGCTCGAACCATTGTGGATTTGCACTTAGTTGAAGAGCCTATGGTTTCAGTCAGGGTGATATCAAGGCTCGAATAGTAGAATAATCATACTAGTGATAAATGATTTGTGTTTATGAAAAAGAGTATATTATAATATGTTAAAAGTATATTTTTATGCCTAATGGCTTTACTTCCTTATGGTTGTGTATGTTAATTAATAGTAGTGAATTATATTTAGCATGGTGAGTTGGACACCTTTATGAGTGTTTTGAGGTGAAAACGAACCATTTTGGGTTCAGGTGCTCATCTTTTTAATGGACGATTATTTGAGTGTGAAACTAGTGCCATTAGCTAGAGAGCTCAAAGAGCTTTGTGTACATACTTAAACCTCTTAAATCAAACATCAGATGGCAAAACGGCATACTTCGAAAGTTTAGAGTACTATCATGACAGCAATCTGCTATCATGACAGTGAGTGCAAACCATGCACCGTGACACCAATGCCTTCTAAGGGATTCATTCCTCTGTGCCATCCAACACAATGGGTATGGCTTGCGCCTTGGCAAACGGGCTAAATTTTTGAAAAATGGCTTTTTTTTCTGTTTGTTTTAAAGTGCTGTTTGATTTCCATACTTCCATATTTGTATTTCACTGATTTTTCAATTATAGTTTGAGCTTAAACAATATTTTAAAAAGGGTTAAAGGTCACTTTTGCCCCCGTACTTATTTCTTAGAAGCGTTGGGTACCCTATACTCTTAAGTGGGGTAAATTTACCTTTAAACTATTTTTTGGATGAGCAAAAACTCCCTTTCGTTATTCAATTGTCAATTTTTTTGTTTTATGTTGACGCAGCATGTGCGTGGGGCCCATGCACAGTGACATGTCTTTTAGTGCTAATTTGCCTCTGAACTCTTTTTTTAAGAACACTAAGCACCCTAAAGTTTTTTCTCAGAGCGCTAGGCACCCTCAAATTTTGTTAAAATAAAATTGAATAAATATTGTTTAAATATTAAGTATTTTAATATTCAATAATTTAAATATTATTATTTAAAACATTACATCACCCAATTTAATATTTTTTATATTTGAGTATTATTTTTGCTAGCATGTTATAAACTTATAAATGATTTTTTATTTTTTATATATCGATCTTCAGTCTTCTCTTCGATATAGTATCCAAATCGTTACATCTTTTTGCATGTCAAAACTTACTTATATTTTTAATATTGGTTAAGTTTTTTTTTTTTGGTCAACTAATTATCTTTCTCTAAAATACTGCATTACCCAAATTTAATACTCTTTGCACATTTTTGTGTTAATAGTAATAATAATATTCAAAATTATTAAATATTAAAATACTTAATATTTTAAAAATATTTATTCAATTTTATTTTAACAAAATGTTAGGGTGTCCAGCACTCTAAGAAAAAACTTTAAAGTGCTTAGCACTCCTAAAAAAAGAGTTCAAGGACAAATTAGTACCAAAGGTGGGTTCCACACACATGCCATGTTAGCAGAAAATGAAAAAATTGATGATTGATTAATAAAAAGGGGTTTTTCTCCTTCGAAAAATAGTTCAGAGGTAAATTTGCCCCACTTAACAGTATAGGGTACCCAATACTCCTAAGAAATAAGTACAAGAGCAAAAGTGACCTTTAACCCTTTGAAAAAAAAAATTCTTAGGATCCTATTATTTTAAACTTATTATCTTTTAAACTTTTGGGTTGTGATAACTTTTACTTGAAATTTTGTCTAATTTAGGTTATCACAACGGTGTGTAAGAGTACTGTCCTATTAATATCAAGGCGGACATTACAAATATTATTCTCCTCAAAAAACTTCAAAATTAAGGGATAAAATCTACTTCTTCACACAGCAACATGGTGAATTGTTTTATGAAGCTTGGGAACATTATAATCCCCTCATAAACTAATGTCCCCATCACCATTTTTCACACATACTCTTAATAGATTTTTTTAATGATGGACTCAATTTTGAATGTCAATCAAAAGTTGATAATACAGCTCGAGGTGATCCAAATAATATGTCTATTGAAGAAGGGGAGGAGATTTATAAAATGCTGACAGCTAATGAAGTTTCTACATCACATGAACTACAGGATTTAATAAATAGTTTAAATTTATTGTTGAAAAATTTTAGTTTTGTTAATTCCCTTTCTTCTTCTACTAATAATTATTTTTATACAGGTTATAATGGTAACTATGTAAAGGAGGTTAATTATATGGGAGTTGGAATGATCAAGTTAATCCTAGGAATAACCCATACTCCAACACATACAACCCCGGATGAAGAAATCATCCAAATTTCTCTTGGAAAACTTCCTCTACTCAAGGACCACAAGCATAGCCAGGCTTCTAATAATAAGGAAACACAACTGAGGATCTTACAACAAAGTTGGAGAAATCTTTGGCTCAAATAGTGACTTACTAAGTGAATAGCATAAAAAGCATTAATTAAGAGATCGACAAACTTAAACAAGCAGTTGCTTCAACTCAAGCTTCTATGAAGAATATGAAATCTTAAATGGGTAATTCTTTAAGGAATTTGGAGGATCAAATAAGCAATTTGGCTAGCTTACTTATCAAAAAGAGTCAAAATAAACTTTTAAGAAATACTAAAGTCAATCCATGAGAGCAAGTCATGGCAGTCACATTACAAAATGGTAAAGAACTCCAAGATATTGATAATGGGGCTAAAAAGATATTTAAAAAGGTAAGCACATAAAAAAATGATGAAGATGATGAGGTAGTTAAGGTACCTAGAGTTAATGTTGTAACTCAATTCTAAAAACAAACCTTATATACCCCACATTCCATACCCTGAGCGCCTTTGAAAAAAAAGTCCAAATTTAGGTTCTAAAAATTTCTTAAAATATTCAAGAAAATTCAAATTAATATTCTTTTTATAGAAACATTGGAAAATATGCCTGCTTATGCCAAATACATCAAGGAGCTAGTTTCAAACAAGAAAAGGTTGAAAGAATATGCCACAGCGACACTTACGGATGAGTGCAATGCAATTCTACAAAAAAAGCTACCATCTAAATTGAAAGATCTAAAGAGTTTCACTATTCCTTATGATATTGATTCTAATATTATTAAAAATTATTTATGTGATTTGGGTGCGAGTGTTAACTTAATACCTTATTTTTTATGTAGGAAACTTGGGATAACAAATATCAAGCCGATCAATGTGACTCTTCAACTCACAGATAGATCACTCAGATATTCACATGGTGTAGTTGAAGATGTCATAGTGAAAGTCAATAAACTTTATATTCCTATAAATTTTATTATTCTAGATATTGAGGATAATTGGAATGTTTTACTTATATTGGGAAGGCCATTTTTAGCCACTAGGGGTGCCTTAATTTATGTGCCTAAAGGAGAATTAATTTTTAAAGTAGGCAAGGAAAAGGAGATATTTAAATTTGCTAAAACTACTAATCTTTCTATTTTTGAGAGTTCTTTATGCAGCATACCGATGACACAGGAAGAAGAGAAACAACTAAAGGACCCTCCTTTACATACTTTAGAAAATAAAGAGGAGGAAATTAGTAAAGGAGAAGGGAGGGATCTATAAAGGCATCTTAAAGATCTACCCATTAGTTCTCACAAAAGTTCAAACACTGATATATTTGAGTTAAATTGAAAAGTCTCTTGCTTATTAACAATAACTCTCTCTAATGGGAGGATGAATGTTATTTGGGATAGAAAGGTGTCTTCTGATCTAAGAGGACAAGGATTTCTACCATACTTAGAAGGCATCTCTTGATTTTGCAGCTTTGTCTAGTTGTAGACATTAAGTGTAGCGCTTTTTGGAAGGCAATCCAATTTTTTTTATTTCCTTTTCATTGTTATTTTAATTTATTTTATTCTCTTTTTATCGTCTTTTATCCCTATAAAATTTTATTTGATCACTAAGACCCCTCACTAAGATAAATCGCAGAATTATATTGCTTAAAAAGGAACTTCTTAAAGGTTATCAAAGTTACATGAAGGCAAATTAAACTAAGGGAGTCTCAATTCTTTTGTCTTTTTCTTTTTTTGCAAACATGATAACTTTCTATTGCTTATGCTGTTATAATTTTCTTAGCAATTTACATGCTATAATTGGCCTTATTTCTAAAAATTTTGAATTCTTTTTGGAATTGTTGTTTTTTTGCCCTATTTTATTTAGCTATATAATTACTAAGGACAATTATGTATTTGAAAAAGAATTTAAGACTTCTAATACCCCATGGGAATTTATCAAAATACTTAATGCACGGATTATCTATCATATTTATTTATGTCTATGTCTAAAAACTAACATGTTGCAAAATAGTTAAAAAGGGGAATGATCCTATAAAAATGACAAAAAAATGCTGATTATCCACTCCACTAATGCCAACTGGTCCTAGTAACTGAGGGTTTTCATCACCAATATTGATCTTCGCATTAAACAGCTTAAAAAGTGTCAAGAGCTTGTTAATAAAGTTCCCCAAGTCTAAATAATCGGGCCCTTGTATCACTAATATGAGGCTTCACATCAAAAGGACTTAAGGATTGTCTAAGCAAGAAAGGCAATTCATGAATAGTTAAGAATGGTGACCCTATTGCACAAACTCAAAAAAAGAAAGAGGTAAGGCCCAAAGGTATAGAAAGATTCATTGTACAAATAAGTGCTCAATTAGAACTAAATTCATTCCATGTGATAGTACTGACAGAATTATTGGCTTTCTCTCCCACATTAAAGCTCGGTAGGTTAGTTATACAGTCAAGTTTTATTAGTGTTCTGAGCAAAGATCCAACATTTCATATACTTATATAAAAAATGAGGCTAAACACAGAAGTATTTGTTTGAGGACAAGCAACAAGTACAATGGGTGCTTCAATGATTAAAGGGAAAAGCAAAATAAATAGCTTAGGATGCCTAAGCTATAATGATAAAAAGAGTTGCGTTAGACAAAGTTGAGGTGATGCAGGGTCAGTCTGAGTATACACTAGGCAAGTTGATATAGAATTGAGTTGTTGAAGCGTACGAGAGCTATTCCAGTGACGTGCTCGTTGCCTTTTTATGGAGAAAGGCAACGACGTTATTCTTTAAATTTGAATATTAGTGCCAGAAGAAGTAGTTACTGTTCACGCCGCTCTTAAGAGCTTCGGTGCGCGTTATCGTGGGAGAGGGGTGAAGTTGGTGCGTCAAGTTTCTTGGGAAAGCAGAAGTGGTGCGAGACTGCGTCACGCTCCATTGAAACACATCGCTTCACTTAACCGTTCACAGGTGCGGCTCTAATTGGCTATCTAACGTCTTTTCTTGACTTGAGCCTCGTTACGTTTGTCTTTTGGCCCAATGCACCCAATCTAGTCCAAAGATAAATATTTTCCTTCCACAGCTTTGGGGGCACAAGCTAGCAAATCATTGACTGTGTTTATAACACTTAGATATTTAACTCTACATAAAAATATGGTGCTATATATGTGTTGTTCAGGCAATTTTTTTCACGATAATTTTATTCTAACATCTATCGTTTATATATATGCATATCAACTAACTTAAAAAAGTTTGGCCCTTGATACATATATATTATGTACATGACCATTGTAAATATATGAAGTTGAACACTATTATTACTTACCATGCATATTTTGATTAATTAGATTACTTAGAACTTTAATTAGTTTAGTTTTAATTCGATCAATTCTCACAGAGTTTTGTGCACTATATGAATTATTTGGTATAATAATTAGAATATAAATTATAGGTAGATTTTGAGAAAAATGACAGAAAAATCCTCTTGAAATATGCAACTGACAATGAAATCTCATAAAATACATAATTCCTCTTAAGTCCCTTGGATACTTTTTACATTAATAATGTTTTGTAAAATAATTAAAATATTTCCAATTTAAAATAAAAAAGAAACAGCTTTGGCCCTCCAAAAAAAAATATCAATAACTACTTTAGTTTAAATAATAACTACTTTTATTTTACCAATAACTAGAACAAAATAAATAATTACAACTTTCCTTTTTATTGAAATACAAGTGTTGTAATTATCTACGGCTACTTTAATTTAAGTAATGCTTACTTTTTTTGTGGCAATAACTAAAACAAAATAAGTAATTATAATTTTTTTTTATATCAATTTTTTATTGACCGAAGCTTAAGTGTTGTAAATATATGTGATTACTTTAATTTAAGCAATAACTATTGTTCTTCTGATGAAAATGACTAGAATGAAAAAAAGCAATTATAATTTTCCTTGTGCAAATCTTTGATTCACTGTAGCTTAAGTAATGACCATATTTCTTCTAATAATTATTAAAACGAAACAAGCAATTACTATTTCAATTTAAAATGAAGATATTTTAGTCATTTTATTAAAAATGGTTAAGGTTAGAAAGTAAAAAACTTGAGAGGAATTATGATAATTTGCATGACTTTATTGTTAATTGCATATTCCAGGCTTTAGATTCATTCGCAAGACTTGCCATGCATTTTATATCTTATGTGAAGTACTGATATTGATATTATATAAAGTAGTGCAAATGTTTTGATTTGTTCATCGGAACTTAAATTACACACACACACACACGCATATGGGCAGCTTTAAATTATGCGTTCTGAAGATATAGTGCAGCTGTGCGGGTATACGAGATACATGGGGACCATAGAAGGAAGAAATGAGCAGTCCATGAATGAGCTTTTCCCCCTCACACAGTGAAAATAAAATAAGAATGGTAAAAACTAAGGAAACCAAATAAATCAAAATAAAGCATGAAGCAGTCAACTTTGAGTAAAGGAAAGCTGTCAAACCCACTTTAATTATTTTACTTTCCTCAAAGCTTGTACACCACCAGGCAGCACCTATTTTTTTTTTTTCTCATCTTTTTGTTTGACCATGACATATATAATATAAATATTATTTATAAATTACTTTTAAT